ATGTTTTAGCTGATCTACCTAGATATTTAACTACAGTCAAAAGAATCTAAATGAAATCTTATCAACAGTTATCTCTGGGTGATGGTTTCATACGTTTTTCTTTCAAAATTTTTCTATAATATGCATTATTTTTATAATAAGGGGAAAGTGAATTAACAAAACCTACCATCCAGGAATAGAAAACAGTATTTCTAGAGAGAGTTTGGTAGAAGGATGGGGTGTCATTCTTGAAAATGGAAAATGAATAGCTTTGTAGAAAATGAGACATAGATGCTCAGTGAGAAAGATATTTGGAAAGCAGCAATGCTGAAAAAGACTTCAGGGTGAGCATGGACAGCAAATTAGATAGAAGTTTAAGGGGTAATGTGCCAGAAATGAGTGCCAATACTATTTTCAGCTGCAAAGCACAGACACTATGACACAAAACAAGGACAGCCTCTTTAAATGTATATTTGGAAAGTCTCACTGCAAGGCAACAATTTTCTATTAGCTTAAACTAGGTACAAGGAAGAAAATAGCCACTGTGACCTAAAAATGATTATGGAGATACGGAATTCTCCAATGAGATAATTTTCCCATTCTGGTTTTATAGAGGGCAAAGCCTTTATTAATGCCAGCTGCACGTTTCACCAAAGGTTAACAACATACATGTTTGAAAGTTTTTCTGCAGGATCTTTCACATAGTAGACATATCACAAAAGGCACAAAAGATAAAAAAATAAAAAAGTCTGCATAGGAAGTTTGCATACACTGGAGATTTCAACTTATTGGAGAACTCAAACCACAGACATTGTAAAGGTAGGAGAAATGAATCTTGACACAAGATCAGCCCCTAAAAAATATAATCCAGAATGTTCAGAGTACACCATGAACTGAAGATGTCCAGAATGGCAGAGAGAGGACAGCAGCAGATGTCTTGGTTGATAAACAAAGGTAGGTGTGCAATGCAGACTGTTCCCAGGTCTACTGATACCCAGAAGTCGGGTCAGTAGAGCATCCGATGCTCTTGTAGAAGATTGGTTGGCATGAGTCAGGCAGTGAATTAAGGACTTCACAACAGGACTTCAGATCCAGCAGGATACTGGAGTGCTATATCATATCTAGCAGGAGATTGACAGGCTTGTTGTCACTGGTATAAAATAAAAGATCTTAATTGAGAGGCTATTAATAAAGATGGACAGAGTTAACGAAAATAAAAATAAAAATAAAACACCAAGGACTATAGAGGGACCCAGAGAATACCAGTAGCAGGAAACTGTTACTTTTAAATCTAAAGCAATAAAAGATAATACTATCAGGGTCTAGTAAGAGGTGTAGATATGGTGGACTGCCTGACAGACTGAAATTGTTGGTAGAGAAATAGTGCCAAAGAAGCAGGGAAAGAGCAGGGGAAAAGGACCTTAACTTTTTCTTCTTCTATCTTCTGGTGATACCTTACTATCTTCTGGTGATGCCCTACTATCTTCTGGTGATACCTTAGTGGCTCTTGTAGATTTCCAAGGGAATCTGAGCAATGCAGTCAACAGGAATCAGTCTTCCGGAGCAAAGATCAGGACAGAGAAGACTGAAAAGGAAATCTGCTGGAAACGATGAGCCATGCAAATAGAGAGTAGCCAGCACAAACGCTATGGCAGCAATCCAAGGCAAGGCCAGCTATGCTCAGTGCAAAATATAAATTTACAGTATCTCTAATTGTGCTAAGTCCACTACTAGATGCTAAGGATACAAAAATAGCACAGAAAAATTATTGTATAAGTATAATAGTAACGAAAAGGTACAGAAAAGTCAAAAAAGTAATCCTTCTTAGGTTTAGAAATCGCTATAAATATCACCAAAGAGCAAGAGACATTTATCTTTGAGAATCAGCAAGGGAGGGACAGAAAGGAATTTCTCGAAAAAGGAACATCACGAAACAAGAAACAGCCTAGCGCATTTGAACATCTGTCAGTTTGGTTTTGGCCAGGGCAAAGCATGCAAAGCAGATTGGAATTGGAGGTACACAGAGACTACATTGATGGACATTCTTTGATAACCTTCTCTCCCTTGGCCTGATTGCAACAGAGACAACAGTGCTGAGCAGAGTAACCAGTTGGCATGTTGGCAGTGGTGTCCAGGTAGGGTGAGGGAATGTAAGAACTCCCAGGCAGCATGCTACTGCTTTAGGTTTTTCATCTTTGAGGATAAGATTAAAAAGAATTAGCAAAGTGGACAAAGGGATAAATAGACTGGACTAAATAACAAAATAAAAAAGAAAAATATCACAGAAAGTTCACAGTGAGAACAGAAGGAATGAATGGCAAACACTTGGAAATCATTAAAAGATGGTCACTCTCTGAGGATTAGACTATTTTAATTGATAGCTTATCAAAGGAGAAAGAACCATAACTCATTCTAACAGAAATACTATTTACTTAGCTCATTTATTAATATAATCAGTGGTAGTGTCTCACCTTAGAGAAAAGGTTATACACAAAAGGAGGTGGATGAGGTAGAATGGTAGGATCAGGAATCTAAGCATCAGTACTGTGTACACATACATTGCCATAAGGATTGACCCTGAATCTAGAGGTAGTGGTGGCCATTTTGGCTGCAGTTCTTGAAGAGAACAAGGAAATTCATCACTATATTTTAATCTATGCTCATCACAAATTGGTCTATTTAAATATCTTCAGAAAAAGAGCCCCCTTAAGAGAAAATGTGCAAAACATTTTTTGGAGAGATATCTAGAACACTAATTCTGATCATTATATTATCTCTTATCAACTGAGCTAATGGGATTCTTTAATTGAGAATCTGGTTTTGCCACTGAGCCTTTACAGTACAATTTTTTGGCCTATGAAACAGATATTCTAACCCTGGAATACAGTGAAATTACATGTAATCTACCTTTGGAGTCTGTTGAAAGTCTCACTCAGTTTCCCATGACAACACACACTCTTCGTCTTCATCCCTTTGAATTTTTCTGCATTGTATAAAAATCTGTGAACTTGTGTACAGGAGAGAAAGTTAAAATCTCAAGTAGAAATGACACCTCCAGAGAAACACTTCAATAAAATTATTATAGTAAGTATAAAAGAATTGATTAAAGCACAACTATCAGGCTCTGAGAAAAACTTAGTTCATCTTGTTTAGTTTTCACCTTTATTATATTAAAAAGGAGACTCTATAGCACAGTAAAGGGCTGGCAGTTTTCAAGCATTTTTACAAGTTCATACGAACTTTACTTCATACTTAATAGTTATGAAATTTATCACATAAAAAAAATCAGAGTAAAGTACACCATCAGAAGCCAGAAGTCCTGTTGACTGTAGACTTTCCCGGCACAGCCCAAGACAGGGCTCAGTTTGAGAACAACTAGCAGGGATAAAGAACTTAGGAGAAAATATCAAGAAACACAGCTCTGATCATGGCTCCACGTCTGTGTTGAGAATAGTTCTAGGGACTTTATTTATTCTTTCTTTCATTCATTCTCTAATTAATAGAAACAACTGTTGTAAGTTACCTCTGGGAGAGGTAAGTTTTTGAAATCCAAAATCCCCTTATTACACAATCATTTTCAATGGTTTTGTTTAAAAACCATTGTTCTAAAACTTTTGAAAGAATACATATAATTTCATACAGTTTTTTTTTTTTGTGTGTGTGTGTGTGTGTGTATGTGTATAGAAGATCTGGGATATATGCCTGAGGTGTGGGGGCAGGGAAGGGTGAAGGTGTGAGAGGATTCACCAGAGACAGAGTAGGGAGCAGCTGAAATACACTGCTGAGGGGAGCAACAGGCGAGACAGGAGAGGTCTGCTGCACCATATGTGGGTTAGCTCCCTGGTTGGGGATCAAATTAAGGCCAAAGGGGTGACGGCACTAAGACTTTATAGTTTTATATTGGTTTCTAAACAACCATAATCTTTGCTGTGAACTAATGAAGTTACAAATCATTCATTCAAGAAACTATTGTGGAGCACTTATTATTTGCAAAATGTGTCAAAATAAAGTACATAAATTTGTGCTGGCTCTGATCATTACAGGTGAAAAGAAATGGAAGGTAACATAACTATAGAGTGAGCCCATCAGTTCATTATTTTGTATTAAAATCTCATTATGGTTATCACAACATCACACACATATACACATACACAAACACCCCCAAATACACAAACTAAGAGCCATTCAGCATTCTTTCAGTCTCTTTTCTTTTGTGATCTCATTTGGTTTTCATTCAATACAGTAAACCATTTAACCTGTTAGCTTTTTTTTTTCACTAACATGTAGCATAACCTAATCTTATACTCAGTCCTTTCTGATAAAATTATCTCATCTCCATGGTTTGTATCCTTGAGTGTTTTCATAGCTACACTCTATTTATGCTTTTTATTATGTCATCTCAAATGCTATTAGTAAATATTTTTAACTAATACTTTATTAATTTATATTATTAAATATTTTGGGATGTCTAGTTAAAATGGAAACAATCATTCAATCATTGGAAATATTACTAGTCAGTAAACTTTCCCATTTAGGCCAAATCAATGCAGGAAAATGGTAAGAAAAACAGCAGCATCTTCTTTATATTAAAATCAAATTCAGATATATAAGTGCGCTAACGGTTCATAGTGATAGTTATAACACAAGGCAGGGCTATTAGAATCTTGCCTTGGTCTGGATGAAAGCAGGATATTAGAATCTTGCCTTGGTCTGGATGAAAGCATTGCTCAATCATTACAAAAGAAACCAACAGTTATGATACATAGGTATTTGATATATACTTACATGAAGTGTTCCAGGAAGGCAGTTCATAACCAAGGCACAGGGATTCTCCCATTCTGGGAAACCAGTGACTAACTAGGATGGAAACCAGACCCCACAGTACGAACTGCAGGTCAAGACTGGCATTTCCCAATGCCACTTAGGTTGTAGGAGCCCTTGAAAATACGTGGCTGGTTTTCCTTACTGCGCCAGAAGTTGCTGCCTGTGAGCAGTCCCTCCCTCTGGGCCCAGCCAGGTGTTCAGTGAAGAGCCCTAGGGGGAATTTCTGCTGATTGCCCAGAGCACAGCCTCTGGGCAGCATCCAGGCTGCCCTGCAACAGAAGGCCATAGGAAGGCTTAATAGAGGCCTGGTGCTGGTGCTGCTTGATGGCGCTGGGGGGCTTGATGGCACCGGCCTTTTTATATTTGGCACCTGGATCACAGAATGGGTCAATGAAATGTGAGCTAAATGAACCAATGGTGTTCATCAGCTCATTAGTTAATTATTTGGCACCAGATGGGCCAGTTGGTCCTAAAATGGTCCAAACGGTCACTTAAAATTGAAAATGGCTCAGTCAGGTAGTTATCAACTAGGGTAGGAGGTCCTGAAAGGTTATAAGGCAGGGCAGGCACCAGCTTGGGACTCCCAACATCCAGAATCCTACCATCCTCTGTTTCTGGCCTCAGAAGAAAATAGAAACATCCAGCAGCTGACCCCTGAAGAGAAGCGAGGATCTTCACAATGGCCCAGAGGCTGCATCTGCTTCCAGTCCTGCCTCTACCATCACCTGAAAAGAGCACAAAAGGCCCCAGGGCTGGTGTCTTAAGCAGCTATTTGTTGAGCCAACAACTAAGATTATCTAGCACCACTTCTTGGTGTTGCTGCCTCTGTTGTTGTTTGGTTCAGCATCTGTTGCTGTCCATCCCGACTGTTGCTATGGGCTGCTGCAGTATCATCTCAGTGGCCCCAACTGCAAATGAGTTGGATCCTGGCCCACTGCTTGTGGGCACACTGTGAGTTCCAGGTCCCTGTAGGCAGGACAGCACCATCTTGGATAACCAGCATTTTGTTTGGGACGTCTGAACAATGTGGACACCACCTAGGGTAAGATAGCTGGTCACCTGTGGCCCTGAAACTCTTAGTTTCCTCTGTTGGTTTAAAAAAAAAATCCCATTGCTGTTCCCTGAGCCTAAGCAGTTTTGCAGTTGTGCTCAAGGGTGAAAACCCACAGACCATGACCTGTCTTCTATTGGGCACTGTCTTGGATGGCTGTAGAGTCCTATTTCAGGATCCACATATCAGTCTAGGATTTGTCTCATTTTTCTCTGATAATTTTCTTTTTTTTTTGGTCAGATAGGAGGATATAAAAATAGTAGTATGAAAACAGTTGTACCTAACAGATGTCTTCAGTTTTAAAATGATTTTCTTTTGAATGGGACTTTATTTTTCCTCAGAAAAGCAATAATATAAATGTTAAAGTGCTCCACTCTTCAAGTTTTGAAACTTTGAATTACAGTCTTTACTTTGATGCAGCATTTCTGAAATCCCGTTCTGGTTGGTGATTACAACTCTATTGCATCAGGAATATTTTCTCTTGGAACATTTTGATGTGACAATCAAGTCCGCTTCAGCTAATAAGGATAGTTAAGGTTGCTTGTGATAGACATGTTGTCCACGGGAGAGAAGTAAAGGTAACTTACATAATAATTTTACCATATGCTAGAAAATATTGATGCCTCCCTCAGTTCCTGTCTACTTAAATAATAAAGCCTGAGTCACTTTCTGATTTGAGGTAAAAAAAATAAAAAGGGCAGAAAATGAAAGGCCACATAAGATTTATTACAAATCTTTGCATTTTGAAAGTCTAAATTAGTATATCAGTTATCTTGAGATAAACAAGATCACCAAAATGGGTCCATATGCTCTTGCCCTAAGTCAAACTGTGTTATATTATAGTGCTATTCCTTTTTTGCTGAACTCCAGTGGTAACTGGAGTTAATACAATAGTAGTATAAAATACAATAAATGGAGGTAAATCCCAAAGAAAATGCATAATCATAAGGAATTAATATTTATTACTAATGTTGGACAGTTTTGTATAATTAAAAAGTACATATTATTCAATGCCACCTCCAATGTTTGACATTGAAGTCAATTTCTTGTTATGTAATGATTTGTTCCCTTTCCATCTTCTTCAAAAGTTTCCCAAAAGCTAGTTAGTGAGAATAAGTCTAAACTATTAAAAACCTCTGCCCCAGGAGCTCTATTTCAAAACTGCAAAATAACAGAGATCAATAGAAGAAAATCAAAACTAAAGAATAGCATTAAACAGGGACATTAAGAAATGTAAAATAAAAACAATCAAAAGTTATGATTTAGTTACCCTAAAAATTCTAATATTTACAAAAACCATCAATGATTCAACGTTCACAAAATGCCTATGATAGGCACTTAACACTAGACACTGGATACATGGCAAGTAGAACCAGTTCCAGTCCCCAGTGATCCCCAAATCTAGATAAAATGACATATAATCTAAGTATCAAATAAGTGATTCATTAATTAAAGGGTAAAGGTGATAGTAATGTTAAAGAACAATTGGTCCAACTTCCTTATCTTGTGAAAGAAAAAACATGAGAGAGCGAGGGAGGACCATTTAACTAACAGATAAGAGACAGGGATTGGACTGGACTTCAAGAGTTCTGACTCACATCTGTAAACATAAGGATGTTTTCACATCATTGGCCAACGTTTCCAAAAGAAATAACCCATTTGCACCAAAAATACCAAGACAATAATTAAGATGGCTTAGAATATTCTTGTCTTGCAGAAATGAGGTTATTTTGGGAAGATTTTTGATGGGTTCAGTGACCCCAAGTTAAAAAGGCTCTGTGGCAAAATCAGCTTAATGAGAAATATTTTGAATACCATAAAAGCTAACCGTCATGTTTAGCCAACCACCACATTTTAGAGGGCCCATTATGCGCTAAATACTATGCTAATTTTTGTGCAGGGAAACAGAATGCCCAAAAGGTAGCATCTCATGTCCCTGGAAACCCTTCTGCTTCCTAAATTCAGAGACTGCCTCTAGCAGAATCAAGAGGAGCAGCGACCTACAATTTGTGTTTTCCCAAGTACTTCCCCATCAATAGCTCCCCACTTAACACCATGATTTGCTTAAGACATTAGTCTAAAGAAGCTTCTTTAGTGCAAAAAATTTCTAAAATTTTAGACTGTGGTCCACATTATAAAATACATTTTATGTCATCATCTATTATAAACATATATATGAAACAAATAAAAGTATGACAATAATCCTTTGTTATGTGCAACACCTTCTGACATTTTCTATTCCTTCTTATTTTCTTTCCTTCTCAAGTGAAACATAATTGTAGTCTATAATGCATTAAATTGATCCATTTGAGAAACACTAAAAGGCCATATATATTTTTGAGTGCCTACTCTGAACAAGTACTGTTTGAAGTATGTGGAAAACAACAGTGAAGGGAACAATGAAAATTTACATCTTTGGGGGGGCTTATACTCTATTGCAGAGGAGAGATAGCAAACAATTCAAAACATAAAATAAAACATATGTTAGATAATGAGCCCTATGGAAAAAAAAAAATGAAGCGCAGTAGGAGATAGGAAATATGGGAAAGGCACTTGCAATTTTGGATAGTGGAAAAGCCCAGACTAAGAAATTGGCCTTTAAATCAAGACTTGAAGGAGGTGGGCCTCCCTTGTGGTGGATGGGGGTAAGCACAGTGCTGTGAAGCTATCAGCAGCCTCTGCAGCACAAGTTCAATCCCGGCCAAGATGCAGCCCACATGGTGAAGCAGACCTCTCCTGTCTCGCCTGCTGCTTCCCTCAGCAGTGTATTTCGTCAGTCTGCCTGTTCTGTTCCCTGCTCTGTCTCTGGTGAATCCTCTCACCCCACCCCACCCACCTCTGGCCTGTACCCCAGTTCTTGTATGCATAAATAAATAAATCTTAAAACAAAAGATTTGCAGGAGGTAAGGAAACAAGTCACAGAGGAGAGACAAATGTATTAGACTGGGGGTCACAGAGATAGCAGATAGCAGATTTGTTGGAGAACACTGAATATCTGTTACTTTGATTTAGATGGGAAGCTGTTGGAGGGTTTTGAATAGAGAGGTGATGTAATCTGACTCACAATTTCACAAAATCATTCACAAAATCATATTGATACTCTAATGATACATACTGATCTAGATGTCATATATTCACATGGTAATGACCTTGAATGATTGAGAGATGGGAGCGATTGAGATAGAATTACCTAAATTATTAATTTAAAATTTTAAAAGTTAATTTACCTTTTTAAGAAGACACAGATAAACAAATGTGAAAGGCAAGAACAGATAAAACCTGGGTATTCCAAGAGGCCATGCACATAGTCCTGAAGCCTTCTCCAGGATTTGATGAGAGTCACACTACAGGGAACACTTACTCTGACAAATGGCTCATCCCTCTCCTTAGATGGATGGTTGCTAGGAATTCTCTAGGTGGGGCTACGATGGCTCTGCCTTGCCAGTCTCCTGAGCCTTGCCAAGAGATTCACACTTTTCCCCTTTCACTCCCCAGTGAATTATATGTTTATATTCTTATCATAGATACACACACACAATAAATTCATATTATAGTTGTATGCATTTGTCTTGAAACATAAGCGAAACCTTTGTACTCAGGTGGAAGTTAGTAATTTTGGGAGCTGAACCTAATAGCAAGGATCAGTGGTATGACTGCAAAGTCATTCATCCTCCCTCACAGAACAAACATAAAGAACATAAAGACCCAATATTCCCAGGTCTTTGCTTTTTACTCACAGTTCCATACAAGTTTATCCAACCCCCATATGACACTGTAGATCTGTCCCACCCGGCCCCTGTCCTCTGGAATTTCGTCTGTCACCACTCAGATTCCCTACTTCCAAAACCTCTGCTCCAGTTATCACTATCACCTCCTTTTACTAATGAAAACTGGTTGTTTCCTGACCACACTGCTTTCTAAGCAGCCCCCTTCCAGTGGAGACTGTTTTTTTCTCTCACTCCTCCTGTACTACTGAACCTTGATATTATAGGTATTGTTTTATATCCTATGGGAGGCCACAGATGTTGTTCCTTTGTCTTCCTTAAAAACATCCACTCCTATGAAATGTGTAAGTATTAAGGTATTATTTGTTATTGTAATATGGGTTATCTGCTCCTAACTAGCACAATTTTCATGATCTATCATTATATTCATTCTTTTGTATATACTATAAACCCCCTCCTTGTTTTGGGAATTTTTCTTCCCAAACTATCTCAATGCCTACTCAACTCCTCTTCCACCCAGTTCTTTATGGCTGAGAGGCAGGAGAGTGAACTGACTTAACAGCCATGATGACTGGTTTATTTTTCCATGAGGTTACCATTTATTTTCATAAATACTTCAGGTATTATTGATCTCTTTTTATTGAGGTAACACTGATTTATAAGACTATTTGTGACTTAGGGGGAAAGGTTGACACCTCCTCAGATGTATTATTTCTATTTTAAATTCATGAACATAAACTTCAAATGAACTCCTGTGCTTCCTGGTTGTTTACTTAAATTTTCTCCCTTGTTTTTCTCAAATTTTCTTTTTTTTTTAAAGATTTATCTATTTATTTATACAAGCACTGGGTACAGTCAGAAGCGCTGGATGGTGAAAGAATCCACCAGAGACAGAGTGGGGAACAGAACAGGGAGACTGACAAAACACACTGCTGAGGGGAGCAGCGGGCGTGGCAGGGGAGATCTTCGTGCCATGTGGGACCCTCGCCAGCGGCCTGGGATCGAACCGGCACTGCAGAGGCTGCAGGCAGCTTCGCAGCCCAGTGCTCAACCACTGGGGCACCAGGGGAGGCCCCTTTTTTCTCAAATTTTCTAAACTAATTCTTTCAAATGTCCTTCATTTTCTTCAAATCACCACCTTCTATAGATTTCAGCTGATAACATCCTTAATACTTTCCTGACAAAGTTGAAGGCACAGAAGAATACTTTCACATTCGAATACACCCATATGTATCAATATATTTGAATCTGCCCATATATTTTGCCTTCCTTTTTCTTAACTGTAGATGAGTCATCCATGTTCTGATGTAAAGTCAATAACGCCGGTTGTGCTCTGGATCCAGTCCCATTTCCCCTATTCAGTGACATTGTCTGCCATTTCCTTCTCTCTCTGCTTTACATGAAGCTTTTTTTTTTTTCTCTACTACACATTCCCATCAGCATACAGTCATTTTTATTTCTATTTAATGAGAAAATTCTATGGAATAATTACCTTTACTTGTTATCTCCATTTCCGATCTTCCATTCTCTATTGAATCTTTTAAAATTACCCATTCATCTTTAGTGATCCCCCAAAGAAGATCTTTTTAAAACCACTAATAACTGTCAAGTGGCTAAATCAAATGATACATTCTTCTTATTGGACACAATTTTTTAACAGCTTTTGGAACAACTGAGCTCTTGCTCTTTTGTGAAACACTGATTTTTACTTGGCTTCTAGGACACTATTCTCTTTTGTTTCTCTGGTTATCTTAGATTCTTCTTAGATCATTTTCTGAAACATTATCTCATCTCCCTTGTCTCTAAGCTAGGGTCCCCTGCGCAGATCTCAGACTTCTATTTTCCGTCTATATTTATTTTTCCAGTTTACTTTATCAGAGTTTCCATGCCTTTTGTTGTTAACTATGTTAAACTAACCTATTTATTTCCATCTGCAACTTCCAGGTTTTATGTCTGAATCTGATTTACATACCTCCTTCTATAGCTAACCCTATGTTTTCCCACTTGTATAATACATAGGTATTTCTAGCCTAACAGATGTAAAACTAAACTCTTGATATTTTCCACCACAATTTATTCCTCCCTTGATCTTCTTATAAAAGAATGGAACTGCTTTCCATTAGCTATTCAGCCCTCAGGTCTGGGGACATCCTTGACCTCTCTTCCTTATAAACCAGATCAAGTCCTTCAACAAATCCTGCCAATTCTATTTTCATATATACATATATATACATATATATATGTGTGTGTGTGTGTGTGTGTGTGTGTGTATCCTGAGTATAATCTCTTTTCACTAGTGTCACTGTTCCCATGCTATTTTAAGCCACCATCACATCCCATGAAGTTTTTGCAATAACCACTTACATAGTTTCCCTGTATCTATTCTTGCTCCATTGCAAAATAATTTCCATAGTGTAGTCAAAGATGCCTTAAAACATGAGTCAGATCATACTCACCTGTCTCAAATGCTTCAAATAACTTTTCATCAAAGTTCTCAGTGCCCTACATGATCTAGATCTAAACTACCTCCCCGATCCCAGCTCATAAAACTCAACTGCCCAGTCTGTTTAAGCCACACCCCCTTTCTTTCTCTTCCTTACGGTCACCAAATAAGATCGCAAGCATCATACAGACTTAATGCAATTCCTACCCAAATTTCAATGCCATTCTTAACAGAAATGAACAAAATATCATGGAATTTATTTGGAACTACAAAAGAACCCAAATAGCAAAAGCATTCCTGAGACAAAAAGCAAAAATTGACGTATTAAGCTCCCTAACTTCAAACTATCCTACAATTTGGTAGTAATTAAAACAGTTTGGTACTGGAACAAAAACAGAAACAGATTAATGTAACAATATTTAAAGCATGGAAACAAAACCACATACATATGGACAATTGATTCACTACAAAGGAACAAAGAGCTTACAATGCAAAAAGGAAAGTCTCTTGACTAAACTGTGTTTAGGAAACCAGACAGCCACATGCAAAAGAATAAAACTAGACCACAATTTAACACTACATACAAGAATTAATTCAAAATGGATTAAAGGTTTGGATGTAAGACCTGAAACCATAAAATATATAGAAGAAAACATAGAGACCCATTCTGTGACATCAGTTGTAGGGATTTGTCTAGGGAAAGACTCTAAAGTGTGCATACATCAAACAAAAAAACTCATCCAAGAGAAACTTGCTTCAAAATAAAAAGACATTCTGTTGAATGGGAAAGGGTATTTGCACACATACATCTAACAAAGGGTTAATATACAAAACATACAAAGAACTCAACAAAGCCATCAATAAAAAAACTAATTAAAAATAGGTAGAGTATATGAATAGAAATTTCTCCAAAGAAGATATCCAGATGGCCAATGGGCACATGAAAAGATGTTCATTATCTCTTATTATTAGAGGAACATAAATCAAAACAACAATGAGATATACCTCAATCTTGTAAGAATGGCAATTATCCAAACAATGAAAAATAATGAATGTTGAAGAAGATGCACAGGGAAGGTAACCCTTTACACTATTGGCGGGAATGTAAATTATTGTAGCCATTATGAAAAACAGTATGGAGATTTCTCAAAAAACTGAAAAAGGAAATTCCACACAATCCAGTTATTCTACTTCTTGGTAGGTATTTAAGTGAAGGATATGAATATATATGAATATAATATGAAGAGAAATAGGAATTCCAAGTTTATTGCAGGATAATTTGCAAATAATTAAGAACTGGAAACAATACGTGCTAGCTGACTAATGAATGGATAAAGAAGATATTATATAAATATATAAGGGATACTATACAGCTATTAAAAAAATGAAGTCCTAACATTAACAAAAACATGGATGGATCTAGAGAGTGTTATGCTTATAAGCTAAACAGAGACAAATGTATGATTTTATTAATAAGTTGTATTAGAAAAAGCAAACAAAAACCTAAATAAAGTTAAAAATAAACTTTTGGACTAAGGTAACCAGTGGTGGTTGCCACAAGGGAAAGGTAGGGCGGTGAGTAAATCAGAATAAAGGGACAATCATTTGGAGAATGATAGAACTGGAGTTCATGCATGAATTTAATGTTATGCATATGCATGTTGATTTTAATGATGCATATCTGACACTTTCAATATTATAATGCATATTACTCTAATTAAAAATTAATAGGCTGTGGCAACATGAAGAGACAGAGGTAGAAATGGAGTTCAAATAAAATTATTCCAACTTGACTGATGGGGAAGATAGCATCAGAGGAAGTTCCCTGCTTGGCTCCAGGGAGAATAAACTTAGAAATACAGATAGTCCAGAGAATCCCAAAACATGGAGTGAAACCAGCATACCTCAAGATCCCCAAAGACCAATTCTGACCAAGCATGACAGAAGAGATGCCAGCAAAATTCAATTCTGAGACGAACAGGAGGATGTATAGAGGAGAGGGTAGATAAGTTCCTGGAAGGTAGAATTGATTTCTGTGGATCTGGCCTAAGGAGATATGGCCAGTATTGCTATAGTAAGCCCAGCAGTTGCCTGACTGTGCCTTGGGCCTGAGCTGCAGCCTGCAGATGTGGGTCTGGGTGCCAGAGAGAAGAGCTAGCAGCACTGACACAGGCACAAGCAAAGTTTGCTTTGGAGAAAACTTGCAAGAAGGGATTATTTTGACTATGGATGCTCACTGGATATTTTCACCAGAGATGAAAAAAATTAGAGGATACATCTTGAAGTGGCTGCAGGAAGATTATAGGTTATATAGATGTGGAGAAATGGAATATATTCTTTGCCAAAACATTGAATTAATAAACATAACTGAATAAAGAATTTCTTTGGTCCTCAGATTTTTCATCCCATGATATTCACTCTTTACCACAAAAAGGCCTTGTAAGTCCCTACTCCATAATCCTTGTTCTACAATTTTGGGGGAAAATATTGTGCAATTAGAATTTTGATGGCATTGAATTCCCTGACGTAAGTGGGAAAATGACTTCCCACTTAGCCCATCATTTCCTGAAATGTCCAACAAGGTGAAACAGACATCCCCCTGAGTCAAATCTTTCATAATCACACTGACACACCAGTACACACTTAAAACAAATTTCCACCTGAGAATTCAAGAAATGTACTACCTTGCCCCAAATCGGTAAGAATCCAATTACCACAAGGATGGATAGTTACCCATGGCGAAGAACGGGATTCCCAGCAGGGTGGAGTTGTACTTTCCATCAGTGATGAAGAAGATCCCTGCTGCGGTGACAATGGAGATGCATACTGTGAGCACCCCCAGGAGGCCCAGGAAGGGCTTGCTGCGCAAACAGTCCTTCATGGAGCTGGAGAGGGTGGCGGTGGTCAGGATCAGCACGAGGCTCACCAGGACCTTGCTCCTGGCCAGGATGCTGGTCTTGTGAAAGTCTCTCCAGAGGCTAAAGGATGCTAAAGAGTAAAGCTGGAAGTCCTGATGCTCCTCCTGGAGCTTCTTCATAAGCTTACAGAACTCATTCTCCCACTTCTCCCCTATGAGGTCTTGGGTGGCAGAGCCATAGGTCTGGAGGTAGTAGGTGATTTGAATGGCTCTGGCTGACTTGACCCGCTGGTCCTTGCTGTTTGGCACTTCCACTACCCCGCCCAGTTGGTGTCCAATAAAACTGTTCCTCCCATCCTTGAAAACAGAAAAAGGAGACTCAAGTTACCAGAGGGATGCACATTCCAGAGAACAGATTCTTACTCTAAGTGAAGGAGCACAAGAAGGCAAAGAAAGGCTCTAGCAATTGTGAAACTCATGTGGGTGGAGGAGCACATTAGGATGTTATGGTCAACCTTTTGGAGCTACGTGGACTACCATGCAAGATGATCAGGATTAGAAAAGATGCAAAGAATATGAAGCTATGCAAGACTTGCCACATGCATAAAAAGTGTACATAAATATTAATTTGATTTCATCCATACTCTCATTTCCACCATTTCTTTCTATAAAAAATTATTATAACTCGTTGGTGCATGATGAAAACTTGTGATTCAGTTTCAGCCAAAAGTGAAGCATGGCATGAGTTAGCAACACTTCAAAAGTTAAAATAATTATTTGCTTTAAAAATACATGCTATATTTTCTATGTTTAACACACATACCTATACCAACACACATTCAAACACAAACATTGCAAACATACACACTCATTCTTTATACTCTAAGGCTACAACTGTGATTTGCACAACACATAGAAGAAAATACTGCTTTAATTAATAGTGTTGGGGTGTTTTTCTAAATATGATATGAACAACAGTTTTCTTACTACAAAGTTCCCCCCAGACAATTGCCTTGGTCATAGACTGATCTTTTCCCCCCAGGAACCAAAGAAGATCCTCAGATGATACTGATAACATTTCAGTGATAAAATGAAGTAGACAAGATGAAGGAGTATGATATTTTATAAGAGAAGGAAATCACTCCACCTTAAAGCAGGCCTAAGGCGCACACTGAGCTGGCTAAACAGATTCAATGCAGTAATTCTCAACCAATGTTTTAACACCAGAAAGAAACCCCTGGCAGTCATCACCAAATTTTAATCACATTGGATATTTTCTTTTTTGACAGTAATGTCATTTACTTCAATGGCAGTAGTTGCCAGCTGGACTAGCGGGCTGCAAGACAGAGTAAAACACTAAAGATAACAGGTGACACAATGCAGGCATGAAGATGAATTTAGGCCCCACGTAGATTGCATGTTTGTTAGGTCAGGCACTATGTTTATCTCATGTGGATGTAAGAGTAGAGTCAGAGCAGAAAACAGCTCTTTCAAGAAGGTAACGTGGCAGGGTGACCAATCAACAGTGTGATAACCATGGCTGTTTTCACAGATCTGGGATGTAATAGACATGCAATTAACCATTTTTGCAGACTTGTTTAGTTCAGAGACCTATATCTGAGGTGCTTATTTGTATTTGTAATTTTAACATACACCAAAGAAGTCTTAATATATGAGAGTGTGTTGCAAACACCAAAAGTTTTGGAAATTTACAGAGTACAAATATTGTTAGTAGAACCTTCAAGGATTTCAGGAAAGAAATTTCATCACTACACATTCCATTTTTCTCCTATTTGTTAAAGTAAACCAGTTTTCCTATTTAACCCAATCTGACCAACTTTAACTGAATGATACATTTCCAAAAAAGAATTTGGTAATTTTCCACTTCTATGCAACCTTGTCATTTTCAGAATTTTTTTTTCCTTATAAAAATCAAACTGACTTTTAGTGGGGAACTTAATGGAGAATATTCACAGGCTGACTCTCAGTGAAGCACACCTGAAACTTATATAATGTTATTGTGCAATATGATTTTAATTAAAAACAAACTGAAATTCCACTTGTAGTTTCCATAGCTCTCTCCTGAATAAACCCCATGGGGTTCTCCATGAGCTGCAAGTGGAAAGATAGCAAAGTTTCCAGGAAGGAGGTGGGAGATTGTGGGATATGATTTCCATTCAGTTCAACCCAGATTGCTCCTAAATTAGGCTTGTTTATTTTGTTGTAAGTTTTGCATAATTTTTAACTTCACACTTGCTTCTACTTCTTACAGTCCTGTCTGTGATAATGACTTGAACTTTTGGTGACTTGAAAAAGAAAGTATTTTCTAAGCTTTATTTATTCACTTAAGAATGTGTAGTTCTGTCTTTATTCATTTCTGTCATCAAAAAGATTTCTTGGGGATCTTTAGCAGCAGTGGAACAAAGATTTATGCATCCTCAGACCTCATTTGGAGATTATAGTGGATCAAAGAGGGTGCTGAAAATGTGTCTGGACAAAGTAAAAAAAAAAATTTTTTTAAAGAGTTATTTATTTATTTATACAAGCACTGGGTACAGTCAGAAGCGCGGGAGGGTGAGAGAATTCACCAGAGCCAGAGCAGGGAGCTGAACAGGCAGAAGGACCAAAGTACACTGCTGAGGGGAGCAGCGGGCAGCAGGAGAGGTCTGCGTGCCATGTGGGATCCTCGCCCAGCGGGCGGCCGGGGATGGAACCGGTGCTGCAGAGGCTGCGGTGCTGCAGAGGCTGCGGGCAGATTTGCAACCCAGCGGTCAAGTGCTGCGCCACCGGGGAGGCCCCAAAGTCAAAATTTTAAAGAAAACAAAATATAGATTTTTAAATAGTTGATCTTCATTGTGTTTGGTTAGCAGCTTGCCTCCCTCCTACCCCCACCTCCGCTTTTGAAGTTGTCTAATTTTCATTTTATACAAAAATTACTTCATGAAAGATGTGTTTTCATCCATTATATTTAAATAAATGTATTGTAACAAATAAAAGAATTTTTCTCTGTTTATTTAAATGCTATGTTCTACCCATGCACCAGAACAAAATAAGCAAGGTCTTTGAGGGTGAATGAATTGAAAGATTTACTGAATGGTCCACATTTTGTACCAATCACCCTACTCGGAATAGTCCTTATCAATAAATACACTTTTATAAATCATTTGTAAGGGAAATTCAACTATGTTTTGTAAGTGTGGTAGAAGATTTTGTCAGATACTCAAATTAACCAATCATAGGCGCTTCTATGTAGGAGAAACAAAGGAGAAAATGAATGTAACATTTGCTGTAATTATTCCCTGGGTAACACTTTCCTGGACATATAAAATGTCAGGTGGAATTAATGGAAAGAACAATTAAACTGGAGTCATGTGACCTGGGTTGCAGCATGCATGGCACACTAATTTCATAAGCAACCTTAAATGATTAATTTCCCCTTCTAGTTCTCCCCTCCATAAAATGAGCAGATATAAGTATATAACTTAATGATTACATGATACTGAAAAATGTTTCCAGCTTTATTATTTTTCAAAGTAACTTTTATAGATGGTATTTTCATATTCATAAAGTTACTTTGAAAAGATGTGTTAGAAATCATATTATGAGTGAATAGTCAGATATTGATTATTTTAAAAGATTAATAAAATTTTAGCAATCACCTGGTAGAATTGTTTTGTTTAAATGATGAGCAAATACAGAGGCTCAGAGAAGGCAAATTGTTTTCAAAGTGATGAACCCATAGTATCAACACAGTTTTTCTGAATTCAAACCCAGTAGTTTCCAGAATCCTATGGGGATGATTTTAGGGGATCAACTTTGGCTCATGATCTCCACTAAATGCTCTTTATCATTAAAATTGACTTCACCTATGGTCTCCTTGTCCAGTATTTTCCTCCTCCAAAAACCAAATGTCTCCCATTTAATATACATGTTGATTCAAATTCCTCCGCTCCAAATGAAATAGCCTACAAAAATTCTGAAATTCCTTTGAGAACAGAAATCACTTTTATATTCCAATGAAGATAAATCTTAAAAATATGACACAAAGGTAACAATTACTTTTAATGTTCTCCTTTTTCAGAGTTTTAATGAAGGGAGCTGATTCATATCCTCAAGTCTACCTCTGCTCTTTCCTAATTTGTTCTCCACATTGAAGTCAGAGTCTACTTGTATGTACAATTCCATATGAGGCCATACCGTATGTGCACCTAAACTCCTAATAGCCTGCAAGACTCTGCATGGCCCATGATTGGTCACAAGGCCACAGACCTTGTCTCCTATCACTCTTCCTCTCTGGACCTCTGCTCCAGCAGTTCTGGCATTTCTTCATATACCTTGAACACACCAAATTGATTTTCACCTCCTTATCTTTGTGCTTGCCTGGAATATTTTCCTTTAGTCTATGGCCAGCACAATTTCCTCATGGAGCTCTTAGCTTCAAACATACTGAATCAAACAATCTAAACTAGACATCTCTTTCCCAGCAATCACCCTATCACATGGTTATGTTATCTTCTTTTACTAATGATTTCTTTTTTTAAAAAAAATATTTATTTATGCATATAAGAGCTGGGGTACAGGCCAGAGGTGCAGGGGGTGACAGGATTCACCAGAGACAGAGTGGGGAACAGAACAGGCAGACTGACTGATGTATACTGTTGAGGAGAGCAGCAGGAGAGACAGGAGAGGTTTGCTGCACCATCTGGTTATCTCCCTGGCTGGCTGGGGAATCTAACTCATGATGCAGAGGCTGCAGATAGATTCACAGTGCTGTGCTTAACCCCTGTGCAACCAGGGAGGCCCTCTTTTTAAAAATATTTATTTATTTATGCATATAAGAACCAGGGTACATGCCAGAGGTGCACAGAGTGAGCTGATTCACCATAGACAGAGTGGGGTGCAGAACAGGCACATTGACTGAAATACACTGCTGAGGGTTGCAGCGGGCAAGACAGGAGAGGTCTGTTGCTCCATGTGGGTCAGCTCCCTGGCTGGGGATAAAATTCGTGCTACAGTGGCTGTGGAAAACTTAGCCCCTTGCACCACCAGGGAGGCCCATTCCTAATGATTTTTATCTAAAATGATGTTATTTAATTATGCCGTCACTCCTTTTCTGTTTCTTCACTAAAATACATGCTTGTTGAGAGCTGGTATTTTTCCTGTCTTGGTCACTGATAATTACCCCGTGCCTAGGACAAAGTCTTATATACAATATAAATAATTAACTCAGTGAATTCACCTTGCAGTATATATAACTGATCACACATTATTCTTTAAAGACTACATCATTAAGAGACAGATCAAAGTGCCTGAGGACATTAGGACCTCAGATAAAGAGAAATATATATATATATATA